ACAAACAACATAAAAGAAGAGAATTGACAAAAAATATTTGGGAATTACCTCGATGTGGTTCCTCCATGTGCGGTTCTTCAAAAGCACAAGATTCGTGTTTGGGATGGGGGCCTTCGAAGGCGATGGTGGATCGATTTGTGGTTAGGGTTCTTGGCTGGGAGCGAATTTGGCAGGTTTGGAAGATTCAAGGGATGAATTCACGACTTCGATTGATTTTCATAGGTGTGTTTGAGAGGAGAGGCGTGTTTGGTGAGAATTACACTGAATGGTGTGGAAATTTAACTGCCAGCTGTGATTTTCATCATCCACGTATGCAATGGTTAGTAATGGAAGTTTCTTGGTGAGCAATGGAGTGCAACGATATAAAGTTCAATGAGTAATGGAATACAAGTTGAAGTACAGTGAGTGAAATGTGATACTATCTGAAGTTCGGTTTGTGTTGAAACAATTAACTCAAAATGATTAGAACTCAAATCTATGAAATCGAATGTGGAGAACTTTGATGAAAAATCAGAAAGCATACTATGAGTGTTACTTGATACGCCCAAAACCATTAATTTGGGACATAGATCCCAAAACCAATCCGGGAATCTATCTTTAATTAAAGTATTGGAGATATCGAGCCCAATTAATTCATTTTGTATTTTAAGCCATATGGGGAAATGTGTTCCCACTTTGCAACCCCCCAACCATAGAAAAGTCAACTGAATATGAGGAATCCATCCCGAACTGAAATTGAAAGAGATGCACTAGTTGTAATTCAAGCTCAACGATCGTAACTGGGAAAGATTTGGAAAAATGGACTTCAGTAATTATACCTTCAAGTTGGTTTGCTTCAAGTTCCAAATACTGGAGTTTGGTAAAGGTTTCAACTCATTCAGTCACACTGTCACTAAGATTGTTCAAAGACAAATCTAAAAATTTTAAACAGCTCAGATTCCCGAACGATGGAGTAATACCACCTTCAAGTTCAATGTGTGTGTGTGTGTGAGGGAGAGAGAGAGAGAGAGAGATAGAGTTTCACTGGAAATGGTATTGCCGATTGTAATTGAGTTTAATGTAATAGAGTACTACTGAAGTTAAACAACCAAGGGAATACCGAAGAAGATGAGGGCTCATTGTCCAAGAGATCAAGTACAGAAAGAGAATTAGGCTATGTTTGATTGGCCAATTTTTTCCATGGAAAATGGAATCCAAATTCCATTTCCCACTTTTAGCTTGTTTGATGACTCTTTTTTTTCCATGAAAATCATTTTCTTGCTTTGCCATCACGTGACTGATTTTCTTGGTTTTTCGTGAATTGGTTTTCCCACCTTTCATGTGATTTTTTGTTTTCCATCTTTTTTTTTTTTGTTACAATTGGAAAAAATTCTAGACACGATAGTAAAAAAAATTATCACTTTTATTGACAATTTCCATACAAAACAAAGTCAAAAGAATAGTATTCGGTATGGTAACTTTAAACAAAATTAAATTTTTTTTGTAATGGGAACAAATTCTAGATCCAATGGTAAAAAAAAATATTATTACTTTAATGGACAATTCCCATGAAAAACGAAGTCAAGCGGACACCAAACTTTCAACATTTTCTAGGTGAAAAATTATATCAATCAAACATAATTAATTACACTTTTCAGTAAAATAAATTTTAGGCAATTTAATTCCCTGTAATTCATTTTGTTTCCACTCAAATTCCACATTTGCAATTAAACGGACCATTTGATGCATTGATAGTCGGATAGGGAGAAAGGACCGGTTGCAAGTGACATTATGACGTGTAATCAATCAGTCCTCTTTCAGATTCACATAGGTCAAGTCAAGATAGTTTAACGAATGAAGTTTAGAATGCCAGTCGAGATTGATGCTAGTTAACATACAATTATTGTAACATTTGAGACTAAGAAATTGCAATTGGGTGAGGTTACCAAAGTGATGCGGAAATGGCCCACCGAAATTATAAGCAAAAATATCAAGATGTTGTAATTTGTTTAGAGTCAATGGGATTCTACCAAGATTACTGTGGTCTAGATAATTCGAACATTGTAATTCAAGCAACCACCGGCTAATATTACCTCGTAGACAACTAAAAAGCCCTGAGTAGTTAAGCCGGCCAAGAAGATCTAGCACAATAATGTGATTCGTTTGGTTATGACATTGGACACCACTCCATGTGCAGTAATCCTTTTTTTCTATGGCTGTACCCCAAGAAGAGAGTAGGCCATGTTCATCAATAAACTCATCGAGCTTCTCTCTCCTTCTCTAGGCACCTGATTTTAACATCATTCACCACTGAAGAGTTTCCAAAATCAGCTCTCAAACTTAAAAGTAAAGGTACAACAATTAACATGACAAAACATCGAAAAAACTTCTTATCGACAATCATTTTCAGAACAAAACCGGATATAAACTACAAATGTATTGGTATATCAGTTGTATGAATAAATTTTGGTCAGATTGTTACAAAGAACGATCATCTCAATCTGCAATAGACCATTGAAAAAACTGCCAGAAACTATAAATAACAAAAAGGAAGAATTGATCCCCACACAACTAATTTTTGGAAGAAGGATTTTCCACAGAATTGTTTGTTAAACATCTAATACACGCTTATGTTATTACTGCTATATTATAATTGTGAGGTTTTATCCAAGATCCAATCTTGGTATTCACATTTCGAATCAACAAATTTGTATAATCAAATCAATTATTCAGTATTCTTGCACTTATCAAGGAATAATTGATTCCTGAATTTGCGATATTAATTTTTTATGAATCAACGTGTTTTATGGTCATTCTTGTGTTGGTTTCTTATTTTACACATCCATCTAGGCATGTACATCAAAAATCAAGTTTACGATTCTCTAAGCTCACACGTTATCATTTTTATATATATATAGGAAACAAGTGGAGAACCCCTTTGGAAAACCAGATAACAGAGATTGGTTGAACTTATATATGTCAATCAAAATGGAGCAGGCACCATAGTTTTCCCATGACTTCACTGAGACCTTTATACAGTGAAGAAAGCACTAGAGCTGCGTCATCGAAAACTACTTCCAATTGCTCGGAAATTATAAATTATATGGGAGTGTGGATTGTGAATGAAAACAATTTATTATCAGGGCACAATATTCATTACAATTAGACATTTATAGATGTGGGCTCTCTAGACGACTCAAGTCAAGCACTCAAGTCAAGCATTTGTAGGCATATAGTATACAATTATTAATGTTGGTTTTGAAACAAAGAAATTAAAGTGAGTAGAAATATGGGTATTTAAAAAAAAAATCACAACTTTAGATATGTGAGATTGGCAGTTAGTTTTTATCACAATTACGTACAGAATGATAAAAAAAAAAATGTGACTTTCAATAAAATTTCCCTTTAGTCGACCCTAGTCAAGCACTCACTAGAAATTATATATATAAACGTTGATTTCTCATACTAAAAAAATTATAAAAGATGTGTCTTTCAAAAGGAGTATCTTAAATATTTGTACAACGGCCAAATATCATAGGGAAACATCTTAGCCATCAACACGACAGTATCTTTATTCAAAAAAAAAATTAAATACATCAAAATTCAATAGTTTTATGCATATTTCCATATTTCTCGTGATTTATTTTAATTCATGTAATTATAAACCAGATTTTTATTTTATTTTTTAAGCGGAAGAACTGGTTGTGGTCAAATCACCATCCTAAAAATTACATAATAGAGGAGTACAAAGTATTCAAACTTATCTGCCACAAAATCTCACTTTAAGATAGTAGATACATATTTCAAGACGCAAAGGATGGGCACTGCTGGGCTTAAATATTTTCTAAGAAAATCAATTCCCTGTAAAACATTTTCTTTCCACCCATTTCCCACCCTTACAATCAAACGCACCGTTATAGATGTGGGCTCTCTAGATTACTCAAGTCAAGCACTCAAGTCAAGCATTTGTAGGCATATAGTATATAATTATTAATGTTGGTTTTGAAACAAAGAAATTAAAGTGAGTAGAAATATGGGTATTTAAAAAAAAAAATCACAACTCATTAGATATGTGAGATTGGCAGTTAGTTTTTATCGCAATTACGTACAGAATGATAAAAAAAAAATGCGATTTTCAATAAAATTTCCCTTTAGTCGACCCTAGTCAAGCACTCACTAGAAATTATATATAAACGTTGATTTCTCATACTAAAAAAATTATAAAAGATGTGTCTTTCAAAAGGAGTATCTTAAATATTTGTACAACGGCCAAATATCACAGGGAAACATCTTAGCCATCAACACGACAGTATCTTTATTCAAAAAAAAAATTAAATACATCAAATTCAATAGTTTTATGCATATTTCCATATTTCTCGTGATTTATTTTAATTCATGTAATTATAAACCAGATTTTTATTTTATTTTTTTAAGCGGAAGAACTGGTTGTGGTCAAATCACCATCCTAAAAATTACATAATAGAGGAGTACAAAGTATTCAAACTTATCTGCCACAAAGTCTCACTTTAAGATAGTAGATACATATTTCAAGACTATCCAAAAAACAAGAATGGATCTAAGTTATAGGGGCCGACAAACAAAGAGATTGACTAACTATTGCACGATATGAGATTCAACCACATTCCTATTCTCACACTAATGAATCGTTTTCAAAGCCACAAAACAACGGTTTCTTACACAAGTTTCTTAAATTTGCCTCTGAAGTGTCTTGTTTATCCAATGGTTTTCCTTGTTAAACACAATAGAGTCCTAATAGGATTCTTCCAATGAAGATGAATAAATCATGTTGGTACTATTTGTCACTTCTTTATGTATTACATTGTCACTCCTTTTAGCATCCACTGATTCAGAATTCAATTTAAACTTTATCAAGGATAACCCCACTGATAACCAATGAAATTCTGTCCACTAAAAATTCCTTATGAATTCTATAAATGCACAGAATCCAGTGAAAATTTCAATCACACTACCATACGAAAATGGCAAATAAACGTCAAGCCATGCCTCTACTCCTGACCCTAGTTTTAGTCCAAACCTGTCTTGCAGCCGTTGGCGGCGGAGGAATCGCCGTCTACTGGGGCCAAAATGGAAACGAAGGCACCTTAGCTCAAACCTGCGCCACCGGCAGATTTTCTTATGTAAACATAGCCTTTCTTTACAAATTTGGCAATGGGCAGACCCCAGAAATCAACCTGGCTGGCCACTGCAACCCGGATTCGAATGGTTGTATAGCCGTAAGCGATGGAATTCGCCGCTGCCAAAGGCGCGGCATTAAGGTGATGTTGTCCCTTGGCGGTGGCGTTGGAAGCTACTCTCTGGCTTCTAAAGAAGATGCAAATAATGTAGCAGCTTATTTATGGAACAATTTCTTGGGTGGTTCATCTACTTCTCGGCCGCTAGGGTACGCTGTATTGGACGGAATTGATTTCGATATTGAGCTTGGATCAACCCTTTATTGGGATGATCTTGCAAGATATTTGAAATCATATGATGGAACTGGCAGAAAGGTGTACTTAACAGGTGCACCCCAGTGTCCATTTCCTGACAGTTTTCTAGGGTCTGCACTTAATACGGGCCTTTTTGACTATGTTTGGGTTCAGTTTTATAACAACCCACCTTGCCAGTATACTTCTGGAAATACAGGTAATATCAAGAATTCTTGGACTCGCTGGACAACATCGATTAATGCCGGGAAAATATTTTTGGGACTGCCGGCCGCCCCGCAGGCAGCCGGAAGTGGGTTCATTCCACCGAAAGTGCTGGCAGCCGAAATTCTTCCGATGATTAGGAAATCGCCCAAGTATGGTGGAGTGATGCTATGGTCCAAGTATTGGGATGATCAGGCTGGATATAGTGCTTCCATAAAGAACAGGGTGTAAATTTTATGTAGTATTTGTTGTCTTAAGATTGTAAACGGGTATAACTGATATGGACCGTTAAATAAATTGGATATGACTTTTCGTTTTACTTTGACTTTACTCTTTTGTTCTCAATAAATTTAGAGTTAATAATTAAACATAAATAGGATTAATAGATTAAACCATACTTTGTCATTCGTGCAGTTGAGTTCTAAATCTATCAAAATATTTTTTTTGAAATTATATCAAATCCTGTCAATATTGGTCACTGTCTCCTTCTAACCATGTTTCTTTAAGTGCCCTGTTGAAGACATTTTGTATAAATGAGTTCGTCGCTACTAAAACTTTTAAATGTTGGAGCAAGCAAAAGACTTGCATTCTAGTATCATCGCAACTTATTTTTGAAAATTGTAAGTATCTTGAGACTTTGATAGAAAAATGAATTTGACTTGCATGTGAGGAAAGCATATTGAAAACATGATTTAGATAAACTTGTCGAACAACTTATAGTTTTAAATGAGGAGGTTCAATACCTTGCTAGCTCATCCCAGTATTGGCTTGAACCCGACTCAACGATGTCAAAGTCAATACCATCCAAAACTGCATCCCCCAGTGGCCTCGACCCAGATTGGCCACCTAAATAGTTGTTCCAAAGATAATTTGCAACATCTCGTGCATCATTTGGAGACGAAAGCCTGTAACTCCCTACTGCACCTCCAAGGGAGAGGAGTACTTTGATTCCTTGACCTTGGCAAGCTCGGATTTCGTCGCTTAAACTAGTGCAAGTACCCAAGCTAGGATCACAGTGCATAGCTAAATTCAGCACTGGGTTTGACCATTGCCGAAGGTAATCAAGAAAGCAATATTCACAAACTCATAGTTTCCAGTTGCACAAGTATCTGCTAAGGTTCCTTCGTTGCCATTTTGTCCCCAGTAGATTGCAATTCCACTGACACTTAAGGACCTAACAAAGAAAGATGCAATTAAACATGCTCCCTTAGGGGCTGTCTGGGAGGGATTGTTTCGCCAAAGAAAATTGATTTTACTACCGTTAACTACTAAATGTGGGCCTCACATGTGACACATTCAGTCAACATTGGCTGCTGGACTTCATCTTCAACGGTACAAAAATCAATTAAACATGCTCCCAGATAGCCCCTAAGATTGAAAATATCAAGATTTGATCTTGTGAATAAACTACCATAATTCAAAAACTCTTGGTTTGGTTGCTTATATTTTTACAAAGATTACTCTTTTATAAGGTACAAGGACTAAGCTAGTCTACAGACTTGTGGAAATTAGGGAAATTTCACTATTAACTCCTAGTACATTGTTCTAGTAGTAAGTTGGTCCTAAACATTTTATTATAGTTGCATTCGTCTCCAATGATACAAGCTATTATGACATTGGAGACTGGATGTGCAAAAATGTTGAAAACTAATTTGCTCATTTTCAAAAAGTGAAGTCTATATTACTACTGCAATAGGTTGGGACCAACAAAACAATTTTCCATGGAAAATGAGGGTTTTGTTGGTGTAATTAAACTTAGCATGGGAACACATTTTCTAGTCAATTATTCCATGTCTGATAGTATTTCTTTTTCATGAAGCTGGGAATTAGTTTTCCATTTTTCACATTTTTACTTGTTGGAAGGGCAAATTTTTCTTGACAAATTTCACCCAACCCCCTTTTCGGTCATTTTTCTTGGTTTTTGAGGAAAATCAAGTCCTACCAATTTGGTGGGATTTGGTTTTCTAGGCTACTATTTTTTTTATTTTTTTTTTGCAATAGAAACAAATTTTATCCTCAATTGTAACAAATTATATCTCTTTAATGGACAATTTTCATGTACAACAAAACCAAACGAACACCAACAGGTTCAAAATTTCAATATTTTCCACGTAGAAAATTATATTAATCAAACACAATTAATTGACAATTCCTAGGAAAACAATTCTAGGCAATTCAATTTTTTGAAATTCATTTTCTTTTCATCCAAATTTCACTCTTACAATCAAACAGACTCGAAAATTAGTCTTCGTCTCCCACTAATTAATTGCTTGGAAAGTTCAGATTGTGAATGAATCAAAAAAATGTTTGGTTTTCTAACACGGTGAATCTGATTTTTTATTTTTTTTTTTATAATTTTGGAATCAAATGATAGGTTGACAAAAGTATTAAATTGCTATCACGTCCCGAAAACTTTCAAAATATTTCCATAATAAAAAAAAAGTTCTCCCAATTTTTTTATTTTTTAATAAAAATTTGGAGAAAATTTTATCAAGAATTTTACGAAAAATTTCGACCTCAGAAACTTTGATTAGAAATTTCACTTTATTGTGGACTTCGTAGCAAGCTTCAACTAAAAATTAACTTAACTACAAGATTCATCTAAAAACTAACTTAATTACATGCATTAAACCAACATAAGATTAACAAAATATTAGAGTTGGCATCAAAGATAAATAAATTCTTTGAAAAAATAACTATTGAATTATGTTTTTGTTGACATACAAAAATGAAACCCAATTAAATGGTCCAAGAATTGAAGCCCAGTTAGGGAGTTCAAGATATAGGATCAAATGAGACCATTGTAGAATATAGCGGAGGCCCATAAACAAAGTACCGTCATCGCTCAAGCTTGCAGGATGTCCAGGATCTGAGCGAATGAAGCGTCTTACTGTCGCCCAGAACGATGATCTCATTCTCGCCCAAGCCTTTGAGCCACTCAAGATTTGAGCGAATACGGCGCCTTGTGATTACTTAAAACGACGGTTATTGAAGCGGTTATTGAGCAATCTTATCACACTCCACGATCCAAGAATCTCGGTTNTCGATTACAAGCGGTTAAACAACAAGAGTAACAACAATAATTGCGAACAGAAATTCCTTGACAAGTCAGTCATCACGAAGAAAGTGGGTAGTTATAGAGCTCCAAACAATTTCCAAACAGTTCTTTGGAGAAAACCATCAAAGGAGTATAAAGGAAAAACAAGACATAGAAGAAAATACCCTGAATCAATCACTCTCAACAGAGAATATGTAATTTCAATTCATTTATTTTCTAAGTGCAAAACTTTCAATTTACTTCGTATGCTTGTGACCCTGGAGGCGTTTTGTTTCTTTCCAATTGTAATCTTCATAAATAAAGCACCAATTTTTTGGACTTTGTCTCAAGAAGTTTGTTCCTTACACAGTCGTCTGAACCTATCTTTTAATTGTTAGCGATAACTCGCGCGAAACAGTTTTATGCACCATTTTTCGTGCTCTATTTCCATTTCCGAGCAACTTAGGTTCTAACGTTATTGGCATTCTGTCACGCAATGTTTTCTTTGGACATTTATACATGCAACATCCATAGTAACCACGTAAGCTGCATGAGGGATGAGATGTTTCAAAACGGAACTGCAATGGTTAGCATATAAATACTAATAGGTAGTAGTAGCAGTAGTTAATTGTATTCAGAAATTAAGCATCATAATCGTGAATATCATGGATAAGTTAGCAGTAAGCATGATAGTAGTTGTGTTCGTAGCTATATCATGCGGGAGCGCGTTCGGGGACGGGGCCTTGAGCGTGGATGGAAAGACTCTTTATCCTCAGCCTAAGAAGTGCGCGCCAAACGCGCAATGCCTGGCGAGTTGCGGGAGTGAAGTATTGGCCTGCTGCATTGAGTGTTTAATGAAAGATGCATTACCCTGCTTTATAGATTGTGGCATAACTAACATCGGCTGCATGAGCGACTGCGTTGGAAAAAAACTCCTTCCCCCATCAACTGCTGAAATACCTGCTAATAATGACCCATGAAAATACATCGGTTTCTTACTCGTGCGCAAGAACTCTTTCTTGGCTTCGTGGAAAGACTAATAACAATATTTGTCTAGCATATCACAAAGAAGTTTGGGATATTTACAAAAGACTATAAGACTTTCGTCTCATATACACAATAATATGTTTTAGATTGTTGTATCATTTTCAAGTTGAAGTTTGTATAAATATGCCTAGTTCTACTGGCAATCAAATAATAGTAGTAATTCAAGAATGTTGTTCATCTCCGTCCCAATAATCATTATTGTTTGTTTAACAAACGATATTGCATCTACTGTTGCTAAGTATTTACAAAATCTTACATGAACTATTGAGCAGTGAAATTCAACATTCCTGGAAATCCGAGAATGAAACCAAGTGCGATACTAACATACTATCCTTCATTGATAAGCTGGTCACCCTCCTCTCAATCTTGTGAGATTTCATCGCCTGATGTTTTTGTATGTGGAGGTCCGTGAAGGCCAGAGTTTCCCACGTATGCTGATGATTCGAAAGTGTGTAAATGAGTACTCCACGGAATTCTGCCTGACAAGTTGTTAGACGACAAATCTAACACTCAAAGCCCATCTAATTGAGAGAGACAAATACTGGCAGGAATCTCACCAGTAATGTGGTTTCTTGATAAATCGAGAGAATTTAAAGAATTTAATAGTCCAATATTTGAAGGAATGATTCCACTTATGTCGTTTCTTGAAAGGTTCAACCAAACTAGGCTTACTAGACTTGTAATTTCAGTCGGAATTTCCCATTCTAAATTCTTGCTAGAAAGATCAATTAACTTTCAGAAGACTTTCAGAAGAGTTCTCGTGTACTCTGCTTCCTTCCCTTCCATATTATATTTGCACTCTCATAGGGAAAATATATTATAGTAACATATACTGGTGTCAAGTTAGAATCGATTTCTTGGATCATAGCTGTGATATTGTCTAGGCATTCTGGTATAGGACCAGAAATATGGTTCAAAGAAAAGTCTATGACTTGTATATGTGCTATACGACACAAGCTTGGAGGAATAGTTCCAAAGAACTCTTTGGATCATAGACTTAAAAGGACCAAATATAGCAAACTATTTTCCATCCAGGTTAGTATTTACCAGACAATTATATTTTTTGAAAGAACAATGGAACGTAAATATGTTCAATCCTGTCATGATTCTGGAATATGACGACTTATCAAGAATTAAATGGCCGTAATTACTTGCATTCCTCACGATAAGGGTTTTTTTTTTTCCATTTATTTGCCTTCAGACGGGACAAATCCTCATTTATATGCAAGCAACACATTTCAGATATGGAAATTATGTCTGTTGTCGATTTTCACTCCAATTCTCTTTCTCGTTCAAATTTCTGAATGGTTCTCCAGGGTGCCTAATTCTAGTGATTTTGCATTACGTCCGGTGCACACAAGGGTTCTTTGTTTCAAATCTAATTTTGAATATTTGACTGAATTATCATGTGTTTGAGTCATGCACAGACGGATTATTATTTTCAGTGGTGAGTTACTCATATGGATGGTTTTCTTATTTTCATCTCTCGTGCATGACTTACAAGAGATGAATTTTCCTTGTTAAAATGGACGGGTACTAATGAGGCTTGTTTTGAGTTATTTAGAACAAGAATCTTTATTTTACTTCCAAATCTTTTTAGCTTAATTGCTACTTTTATTCGGTACTATATTGGCTGTGTTGAGATGACAACAATGTCTAGATAGTTAAATTTCATCACAATCCAAGACGGAAATTACTCAAAAAACCACAAACTTATATTATTAATTTTGTATGAGGTACAAACACGTCAGCCTAGCAACCTTTCATACGAACACTTGCACAAAAATTAAAGGTAAACCAGACACTTCAAATGGATTGTTCCCTTACCGACTCCTTGCAGACACACTAACAAGGCAAATGCTCAATCCACCTCCTCCATCTTGCTCTCTTCATTGCCATCTTCCTCAAGTGCGGGCATTTCAGCATCCTCACCAGCTTCATCGTCCTCGTCAATGCTCAATCCCAGCTTCAACATTCTGTGAATTCTTGATGCAAATGTGTTAGGGTCGTCCAGACTGAACCCAGAAGTCAAGAGGGCAGTCTCAAACAGTAGCAACACAAGATCCTTCACCGACTTGTCATTCTTGTCAGCCTCCGCTCTCTTCCTCAATTCCTCCATAATTCCATTGTCAGGGTTAATTTCCATTGTCTTCTTGCTAGACATGTAAGAGCCCATGCTATTATCCCTCAATGCTTGCGCCTTCATGATCCTCTCCATGTTTGCAGTCCAACCATACTCTCCAGTAACCAAGCAGCATGGTGAGTCTACAATCCTATCGGAAACAACTACCTTCTCAACTTTGTCTCCAAGAATGTCCTTGATAACCTTGCAAAGGCTCTCGAACGACTTCTTTTTCTCCTCCTTTTTGTTCTTTTCTTCCTCAGTTTCATCATCGAGTTTCAATCCTTCCTTGGTGGCAGAAACCAGCTTCTTGCCATCATATTCTTTAAGCTGGCCAACAGCATATTCATCAATGGCATCAACCATGTAGAGTACTTCATATCCCTTCTTCTTGAGTCGCTCCAAGAAGGGAGAGTTCTCTACAGCTTTCTTGCTCTCGCCAGTAATGTAGTAGATGTCCTTTTGCCCCTCCTTCATCCTGGTCACATAATCCTTCAGGCTAGTCAATTCATCGCCACTCTTTGTTGAATAATACCTGAGTAAGTCAGCCAATTTAGCCCGGTTTTGGCTGTCCTCGTGGATACCCAACTTCAAGTTCTTGGAGAAAGCTTCATAGAACTTGTTATAGTCTTCCTTATTCTCAGCAATCTCATTAAACATCTCAATGCACTTCTTCACAAGGTTCTTCCTAATCACCTTGAGAATCTTGTTTTGCTGCAACATCTCACGGGAAATGTTTAGAGGCAAATCATCAGAGTCAACTACACCCTTGACAAATCCAAGGTATTCAGGGATGAGCTCCTCGCAGTTATCCATGATGAACACCCTCCTAACATAGAGCTTAATGTTGTTCATCTTCTTGCGGGTGTCAAAAAGATCGAATGGAGCCCTCTTTGGAACGAAGAGGATGGCCTTGAATTCAAGCTGACCCTCAACAGAAAAGTGCTTGACAGCAAGGTGATCCTCCCAGTCATTGGTCAAGCTCTTGTAGAAGGAGGCATATTCCTCCTTGGTGATCTCCTCTGGCTTACGCAACCAGATCGGTTTTTGCTTGTTTATCTGTTGCCACTCATGAGAAACTTCCTTTATCTTCTTCTTTTTTCCCTTCTCCTTCTCTTTGTCCTCATCAACCTCCTCAATATCACCCTCCTCTTCTTTCTTTGGCTCATCATCGTCATCATCACTAATTTCCTTCTCGGTTGTCTTCTCAGTCCAGAGATAAATGGGATAGCTAATAAACTCGGAGTGCTTCTTCACAAGATCCTTGATTCTCCTCTCCTCCAGGTATTCCAACTGCACATAATCCAGAATGCACAATGAAATCTAAGTTAGCCAAATATTTATCCCAACAATTTCATATAATTACCTCAATATCTACTCAATTATTTTTTAAAAAAAAATCTCTTTAGAGGTACACAATTCCTGATGGTAGACACGTATTCAACCTCTCACCAGTTCATCAAATTAAAATTGTAAATATACAATCTCAATTTTTTTATTCCACAATTTTAATCAAAATTGTAATCGAAACAAAGATTATTTACCTGATCTTCCTTCAAGAAAAGGGTGATCTTGGTTCCCCTGCCAAGTTGCTCTCCGTTGACATCCCTTGTAACAGTGAATGAGCCTCCAGCTTGCGATTCCCAAATGTATTGCTCATCATCGTTGTGCTTGGTGGTAACAATCACCTTCTCTGCAACAAGATAAGCGGAGTAGAAACCGACACCAAACTGCCCAATCATACTTACATCAGCACCAGCCTGCAACGCCTCCATAAATTCTTTGGTGCCAGACCTCGCAATTGTGCCTAAATTGTTCACCAAATCTACACAATTCCAACAATTAAAGCCACTTCAGCTTCACAAACTTCAAATTATCTTCAAAACTAAAACTAAAAACGAACATGAAATCAATATCCCATCATGCATTTAAAAAAAATAAAAATTAACAATGCACCTGTCTCTATCTAAGATATATTGCACATTTGCATCTGATCATAGCAAATCAATTTTTAATCAAGCTTTTTATTTTCCTAGTTTTGCAATCTTCACTTGTTACTTGCCAGATTCCAATTAGAATGTATGTTATTGATATATATACAATGAAGACAAGCTACTAAAATTAGTCTATTGACTGACTAATTAATACAGAAATGCTAATATTTGCAGAAGTAACAAAGGGAAAATTTTAAAAATGCGTGTGTTATAGACATGCAATAACATACTTGAATGTACATTTATAAAACTCAAACCCTTAAAATTCTCCGGAAAAGAATGTATCAGAACCCAAATTCTACATTCTAAAAATCAAACAACCAATTGAAATCATAAATTAACTAAGTAACCATAAAAAATGTATCATAATGTAGTACCTGCTTTGGTCATGCCAATACCGCTGTCAATGATTGACAGAGTCTTATTCGCCTTATCCGGCACAAGTCGAATAAACAACTCCGGCTGCGCATCAAGCTTACTCTTATCAGTCAAGCTCTCAAACCGTATCTTATCCAAAGCATCGGAGGCATTGCTAATCAACTCTCGAAGGAAGATCTCCTTGTTACTGTAAAATGTATTAATAATCAAACTCAGAAGCTGGTTGATCTCCGCCTGGAAAGCGAAGGTCTCCGCGTCTGACATATGAACATCCGCCATTGCAATACTTTTGAAACGATGAATTTAGACAGAGAATGGAATTAGATAGAGCACCGAAGTTTTTATGGAATGCAGGTAGATTTTGAAGTGAGGAGAAAGGGAAATACGGGGGGAATTTTTTATAGTGTATAGTAGGGGTTCTAGGAGGTTCTATTGGTAGGAATATGCACCACAATAGAAATGCGAAGACTCGGACCTTCTCGACTCTTCTACTTCCATCTGGACGTGAAATTTCATTTTGTTAAAGGGAAATTAGCACCTACAGGGTTCCCAAACTTTACCTTTTCTCGCACTTGAGTCCCCATTCTTTTATTTTTGGCAGGTGGATTCCCATACTATCATAATCGCTGCACGTCAGGACAAATGGAAGAAAACTGTCCAAAATTCCGTCAAATTCACTCGTCTCTCATTTTTTTCCCCTTCAATTGTTCGTTTTCAAACCCTTGTGTTCACTCCTTATTAAAAATTGTTCACAAATTTCACGACGACGACAACTGAATCGAGCTACCCACTTTATCTTTGTCCATGCTGTTTCTTTTTGTCAATGGTTTAGTTTGTGTCCTTGTTGGGAAACTGGTTTATTACTTAGTTTTGGTACTGTCTTGCTGGGAAATTTTACTTTTTTGCACAATGTTGTTGAGAACACATGTTAATTAAACCAATGTTGTCTATTTTACTATTTTTATTTAGCTGCTAAACTGCTTCTTAATTTTGCTGGCAATTTGTTTATACGTAAAAGTGCTACAAGTTCTTGGTGGTAATTTAGCAGAGTTAATTTTGCTAAAAAAAATATGAAACTACTAAAAAAATCATCAGTATGAAAAACAATTCTGAGTTCTAATTTTGGTGGTTTTGAATAATAGCCTTGCTACATTTACGCTTTGTTTTACACATTTATTTACACTATTCCACATAGTATCATCCACACTCTTGATTTTGAACATATCCATCACATCACTACACAAATTTCTTTCATATAGGAGTGTACAATTTACAGCCCACACTAATTGTACAGACTATACATGCAGCAGATCTCATATCATTAATCTTTGAACAATCTGTTTTGAATGCATTGGGTAATGTGAATTTTTTTTTTTTTTTTAACTAGTGATTTCTCCTTGTTACTGTAAAATGTATTGATAATCAAACTCAGAAGCTGGTTGATCTCCGCCTGGAAAGCGAAGGTCTCCGCGTCTGACATATGAACATCCGCCATTGCAATACTTTTGAAACGAAGAATTTAGACAGAGAATAGAATTAGATAGAGCACCGAAGTTTTTATGGAATGCAGGTAGATTTTGAAGTGAGGAGAAAGGGAAATGCGGGGGGAATTTTTTATAGTGTATAGTAGGGGTTCTAGGAGGTTCTATTGGTAGGAATATGCACCACAATAGAAATGCGAAGACTCGGGCCTTCTCGACTCTTCTACTTCCATCTGGACGTGAAATTTCATTCTGTTAAAGGGAAATTACACCTACAGGGTTCCCAAACTTTACCTTTTCTCGCACTTGAGTCCCCATTCTTTTATATACATTCGAACCACTATTGGTCATATTTCTCTTTATCGAGAAATCGAATAAGTTGTACAAGGGTTTTCTCAGGCCTATTCATATGGTACCGAACTAAGCTAATGAATTCTATAATACCGTAGGAATTCGAGTTTCTTTAGTTCAACTAGACCCATAGTTTCATAATTTCAAAGTTGGTAAATCTTAAAATACTTTTTTCTCCCAATAAAATTAAATAATAAATTGAGTTTAAAATATAAGAAATAAAAATAAAAATTAATGAAGTAGATTGAGAAATTTTTATTTGTGTACATTTAAATAATTTTTTAAAATATTTATGTAAATAATTATTGAGAGCTTTAACTAGTTTTATTTTTCTAAAAAAATTATTATTTTTGTTAGCATTTTAATTTTTTTTATAATTTTAGTTTTTTAGAATTTATTTTTTAAAATTTTTTTATTTGTTAAAAACTTATTTAAACGCTTGTTTTGATTGTTTTCAGAATTTTCACTAAAAATACTCAAACATCAAAAATATTTTTTGAACTTTATGTAATAAGTTCAACCTTTTTTTTAAATGCATTTTTAGAAAGATCAAACTAATTTATTTTTTATTTTTTATTTTTTTGTGTTTTGCAAATTTTAGAAGCAGCAAATCAAACACCCCCTTATTTTATGAATTAAATGATTTAATGCATCTCTAGCACTTTTTATGGATCACCATTTACATGGCATTGATATCTATTGAATTATGAATATACCGTCAAACTAGAAATTTATCTTCTTAAGTGTTTTTATTTTCTTGATATGAAAAGAAATAAAAAAATCGCATCTTTTATGATGAATGAAAAATATAGATATTATTGAGTCACACTGTCTTATAGAACTTTTAAATCTAAATGAAACTCTTCACAATATCTGTTTTTTTCTTCATTACATCAAATGTACAAATTCCACGTCAAATTGCATCGAAGAGAAAAAAAACTTAAACAAACATTTTTGTAGCAACCCACTTAAATATTGGAGATACTTTAAAACAAGTAGATGCTTAATTCCCATTCTGAAAATTAGTTAAAACTGCATATGTAAGTTTTCTGAAGATTTATAGAGAAACTTTGCAAAGACCCATCAGAAGATAGCAAACAGGAGGGTTTTATTGGGCTCAAATAGTTGGGCCACAACAATTGAAGAACAAATACAGCACACAGTAGGCAACAACAAATAGTTTGAACCTTGCTACACTTATAGGGGTTGGTTCACATAATTCATAAAGGAGGGGTACTCAGAATTTCTGGTTGAAAGATGGTAAAAAATAAAATAAAAAATGAACCACACAGATGCTGTCATAACAACACCTGTAAAAAATCTGTTAAGGAAACCTCTATTACATTTAGTATTTTTCAAATAGTTTTGTCTCTATTTACAAGCTAGCTAGTGTCCGACTATTATCAGAATGAGTAGTTTTCTTAGTTTTTGTCTTTTTTACTTACGACTGATATCAATTTTTTGAATATTAGGATTTTAGTAAATTCTACTTATTAATTGTAACATATTTATGGAAATAGATACATGTACGTAGAGTTAACTCAATGATTGATTTGACGTTGCTTAGAAAAATCTCGTATAGACTAGGCGATAGGTAAATCTAAGGGCAGCATCAGCCGTCAGAAATTAAGCTTGGACTTAAATTATCGAGAGCGAATGGCATGAGAGTGCAAGACTTGGCCCAATCAATATTGGAGACAAAAAAAAAAATAGAAAATTTATAAATAAATATATTTCGCACACTAATGAGACGTGTTTTTCGCAAATGCAGGAAACAATACGGATGCAGAAAAACATAAGCAACGTATTTCCACGTCAATTGTGAATTGACTTAATTATAAACTATGTTACGCTGAAATTTCTAACTTCTTGGAGCTAGCTTTCTCTTTCAGGACACGTTTTTTAAAAAAAAATCTAAGAAACATTTCAGAAATTGTAAAAAGGTTTCGTGATTTTTTTTTTTAATTTTTTTTATGAATTTTGAAACCTTAAAGATATTTTACGGAATTTTTGACCAAAATATTCGAGAATTGACACTTTATGGCTGACTTTTTGCATGCTTCAATTAAGAATTAACTTAAAAGGGAAATTTACAAATTTGCATATCATATTTTACAAATTTACATTTTGCATATTACATTTTGGGTGATGATTGATGTACATAAAGATTGATCCATAGTGGTGTTCATACACTCACATGGGGTGGGGGTATGTGAGTGTATGGACACTGTTATGAATTAATTTTTATGTACATTTAACATTATCCTTACATTTTAGTCACCGGTAATGAAACAACTTTTGAGGTAAAAAAAAAAATCGATATTTATATATTTTTCATTATAAATAGCTAAACAAACCATTTAACCGTAATTTAAAATAACAAATTGTTTAGTTATAGTGGAGCCTAATTATTGTTATTATGTGGAGCAAGTACTCCATATCAAAATCTTATTGAAGATAATTTAGTAATTTCATACTTGTAGAATTTGGATTGTAAATTCTTAACACGATATATGCCCTTTTTTGCAATCATTGAAATGAGTTTTGAAAAAGTGATTTTTTGAAGAATACAAGATTAAAAGTAAGAAAAAGTTTTGAATTTAGGTACATAAAACTTTATTGTGATGATGTGTGATTGATAATGAATTTAAGAAAAAAAAATTCTTTAAATGATTGTCAAACATGAGTGTTATTGGTTAACATATTAAAAACATTTTCAAAAGACTCTTTAAAAGTGGAATATTTTCTAGTTTAAAAAGTCAACGCATAAAATTATATTTCAATAAACTCTTCAAATTAACATTTTAAAATAGAGAATGAATTTGACTCTCCAAATTTATTCTCTACAATTAAATGCATTCAAAATATTTCAATATCAAATGCTCCATATATTGACACAATTAAATAGTATATAAAAAGAAAATGAAAAATATAATATATTAATTTGGAGAAAACTGGAGAAAATAAAAGATAGAAAAAATAATAAATGCATATTAGAAGTAGTAAAATTAAGTTTAAAAATAAAAATGATATTAAAGTTTATAAAAATTTGTACTCCTCAAATTTATATATGCTCTTAAATTATATATATTATTTAAAATGGAAAATTGCAGTTAAGGTACCAAAACTTTTACTTAGTTGCAAACTTAGCCCAAACTTTTCATTTGTACCACTTGGGGTACCAAATCTTTAAAGAAATCGTAACTCCAGTCCAAATTGACGGTTTTCGTTTAATTTGACTACCAAAATCGTTAGTTGACCACAAAAATGGAAAAAAAAATTAATGATTTTCATCAAACAGATTAAGGCAATTTGGGCATCACACATTTTCCCTCTAAAATAAAAAAAAAGTCGGTTATTCTTCATTTCACCATCAATTATGAAATTTTGCTATTTCAAGCTGTGCATATAGATTGTCTTCATGAATTGAAAAATGTGAAAATGTTG